CTCATCCTGAAGCAAAGCTCTTAACCCGAGGTACTATTTATGGGTTAGTGGAGTCTGTAACCTGAAGCGTCTGCACCGAGGTACCACAGTATAGTGTTTTACCTTTTTTTTTTTTACTGCATTAAAACTGTGAACCCTCTCCAATGGTATTCGAGGGGCAGATAACAAAGGATGGGGGCGGGGGGAGGGAGGGAGGATTAAAATATGACACCAGAGGGCGGAACAGAGCAACCAGCAACCAGCAGCAGGGAGAGAAACAGCATTTTGGAAAATGGTGTCGCTGGGTATTGCTTACATTTGACAGAAAAAACCAAGGGAGAAAAATGTTTTAATTAGCAAGTGTGCCCTGGGTCGTTTTAGAACGCCATATCTGATATCGTTCTAATAGGGGGATATAATGTTAAACGGGTCAGTGTAGATCCAGCCACGGTCTTGGAAGAACCAATCCCATTGTAGTTCCAGCTTAAAGCTCCTTGCTCTGCTTAACACCCTCATTTGGGGTCACTGGCTGTAGCCTGTAGTCTACAGCTTTCTGCTTGCTCCAGGCACCTTCCATCCTCAGTGGTGCAGTTAGGGACTTGTGCAGTGTGATATAGTGGTAGCAGCACTAGCCGTAGACCTGGGAGACCAGGTTCCTAATCCCCACTCAGCCATGTAGTTCACTTGGTTAGAAACTCTCTCAGCCCAACCTACCTTGCCGGGTGGCTGTGAGGAAAAATGGCAGTTGGATAATCGTGTGTCCACCTTGCGGGAGAATACGAGGCATTACCAGAAGTGGCGAGAAGGGTATGGCTGGGCCGACGTCCTTCATCAACTATGAACAATTGATCGCTGCACACTTAGAACTGTATTGCAAGATTTAGATTAGATTTGTATGTGCAAGATATTATATGATTTGAGATCATCTCTATAATGGCTTTCTGGTTACAGGTTGTATAGTGGTACCTCGGGTTAAGAACGTAATTCGTTCCGGAGGTTTGTTCTTAACCTGAAACTGTTCTTAATCTCAGGTACCACTTTAGCTAATGGGGCCTCCTGCTGCCACCACGCTGCCAGCGTGCGATTTCTGTTCTCATCCTGAAGCAAAGTTCTTAACCCGGGGTACTATTTCTGGGTTAGCGGAGTCTGTAACCTGAAGTGTCTGTAACCTGAAGCGTCTGTAACCCGAGGTACCACTGTATTTTGTATTTCATTTGTAGACCTTGCGACTGGTGTTTCTGTTTACTGTCACTGCTATCCTCATGCAAGAAAACAATATACATAAATACATAAAATGTGTGCACTTTGTGGTCCTTGGAGGAAAGGCAGGTTATAAATGGTTGTTGTTGTTTTTAAGGGACTTAAACCTCTTGGGATAAAATGTGGCTGTGCTGGGGGACCATTCCTGCTCATTCAGATGAGGGCCCCAGACTTTTGCCTTCAAGCCTTAACAGAACCACTTTCCACTCCTTAAAAAATGGCCCCCGCTTTGCCAGGTCTGCAAATGGCGGACTAGAGGCCTTCATGAAAGAATTCTAAGATTTGCTTAAAGAACAACAATTTTAAAATCTGTAGGTTTCAGTGCATAGAGTCAATGTGTGTGTAAAGCACAGTATTGAAGTCAGCCTGATTGTCATGATTTCAGACTCAGAAGAGACTCAGTTATTCCCCTGCTACTCATCAGGTCAGCAGAAGGCCTGTGCATCCTTCTGACCCTGTTTGAAGCCAATCTACACTATGTTGTTTTGTACCTCCTTTTATTCAGGGTATGTGTGTGTGTGTGTGTAACTGCAGCCCCAGACCGTTCAGAAGCCAGTATTCAAAAGACACACTTATTCAGCAGGATTATAGAATGGTTTTGTAGGGGGGGTTTTAAGCTATCAGACACAGCCAAAGGGGTGCGTTATCAAAACACAGCTGTCTGCTGCCATCTTCACAATTTGCTGCTGTAATGTAAAACAACCTATATAGCATTTCAAATGCAGTTACAATAGGCTAAACGCACCACACTCCCCAACCCAGTCTTCTAAGCCACTTAGCCCTCTGACGGCATTTGGTATCAGGAGATGGTATCTTAGCCCCTTTCCCCCCAATAATTTATCTGGAAGGATTTAACTTTTCCTCTGCCCTTGCACTCAACAGCTCTGCTTGAACCCTTCAAGATCTAAAGAAACTGCAGCACTGTGAATCTGCTGCCATGGAGACAACCGGAGGAAATCTAGTGAGGTCACATCCCCATAGGCTCTCTTGGAGAAAAGACCCATCAGAAGAGGACAAAATGCAGAAATCCATTCATTCACCTGCCCTCCATCCACCAGGCACTCAAGTAAACAACAGAAATATGAATGCATTGCTCATCTCATGGCCAAAGGATATTTCCAGTCTGTCACTATTTTGGAGGTGGGATTCAAGCTCGTACCAGCAAATCCAGGTTGCATGGTTCCCCAAAACCTGCTTCCCTAAAAGATTATGGACTTTTTGCAATAAGGACATTTTTTAAATCAGCCCACATTACAGCTGACGAATAAAAGGTCTAGCCAACTCCCCCACCCCACCTCAGCTGCAGGCCCCGATTTTTTTCAGCTGATTTGATGACAACAATAAGTGTCTTTGCAAGGTGGGGATTGACTGACTCCACCTACAATCAACCTGGTCATGCAAACAAAAACTTCAGGACATTCCAAATGTGCACCCAGTGAAGGCTTTTCAATCCTATAATAAACAGACCCCTTGGATGTCTGTTGTTTTAGGTTTTTGCTGTGGAAGCAGCAGTAGAGACATACAGCTTTGCAGCTTGGGCTGTCTCTTTACAGTGCTGATCCTAAATGAAATTCAACAGCTCTCAGGTCGTTTTGGTTAAGAATGGAGCTGGAAGCAGCCATTTGAGATGCAAAGGTATCAGTGCTATTTTAAAAAGACACACACACAAATTTTCATTGTGGACATGAAGAGAGGGAAGGGTGACACAACTATATTGTATAGAAAACTGAAATACGGCTTGTTTCCAGAAGCCCCTCTTCTCTTAGTGGGAATCACAAGGTACCAATCTCCTAGCCTTAGTGAATTCTTCCCAATTGAAAAGGATTAAAATAAGCATCAAAACGCTACCAGCCAGCTCATAAGTGTCCCGCAGGAACAGCCTGTGTGAGCCACCTTTCCTGATCGCCTGCTATTTGCAGAGGTTTCTGGAGGTTGGCTTGAAGGTCACATGAAAGGAAACCATCACCAGTATTTTACTATAAAAAGGGAGCACCCAAAATGCTGATTTTCCTTATCAAGGAGCAAACATTTCATCTTCCCCTCTGGATCCTCAACATGGCATCACCCAAGATACGCAGAGAAGAGTATACCTAAGAGATGCTAAGCCATATTGCTAGCTGGCCTAGTCAATAACCACCTCCCATCTATTATCTGTTGGGTAACTAATTCCCTGTGAAACCAGGCAAATATATGCAAGCAAAAGGTGTGCTGCATTCGATTAACCCCCCCCCCAGTCCTTCCTGGAATTTCACCTGGTGCAGGATTGTGTACGAGGCGAGGCTTATAAACAGAGGAGACAAATACCTCCTAGGGGAAAGGCACTGTCCTTAGCACATCTTGGCAGTGAATGTGTGGTGCATCACTAATACATTTCTTGACAAGGAGCGCATTTCATATGTGACCAGCAGAACTGTTACACTTGGCTCTTCTCTCCACCCCTATAAGCAGCCTCAGAAATTGTAATGTGGAAAAACACACATTGATGCATAAATTGCATCATTTTGCAAGAGAGGGAGGGAGGGAGAGAATGCTGAATCCAAAGACAGAAAATCCAAAAAATATGGCTAAGCTCCCTACCATGATATTTCTTTACCATCTTGAGATTACATAACATAAGAGAGGCTTTTGTCCGGGCTTTGAAAATCTCCAGAAGACTGGAGATGGCAAACGCTCTCCTTGAAGCAACCTCCTCTTCCTTCCTATCTGCCCACCCCCTCCCCTCACCGCAGCCCTGCAATTGCCCTCTGGCAACATAATGAAAAAGCGGGGGGGGGAGGGAGAGGAAGAAACAGAGGAAGAGACGGACTCTCTCCCCAGCCTCGCTCTGCCCCAGGAGCAATTCTGAATTCTGCTTTCCTACATAGAGCTTCCCCCCCGCCTCTCTAAATAAATAAATGATTTAGGATTAAAAGCGCCAAATCTCCTCCTGCGCGGTGATGTGGACACAGCACAGCACCAGACGTCGGATTGCTTCCTTTCGCTCTTCCTCTTACAACTCGCCCCCCCCGACCCCAAATGGCTGCTTTTGTGCAGTAAATCACTCCTACGAACAGCGGAGGTGGCGGCGGGCGATGTTGCTATAACGCGCCCTTCAAATTTTGTGCACACACTGATGCTCACCTCCACCCTTCCCTTCAGATGTACACGGCAAGCTTCTTTTCACTGAAACCGATCGTGATCTCTTTCTCAGGGCAGGGATTGCATTTCATACCCACCCAAACAGAAGGAGACAGAGGTGTATACACACACACATTCATACATCTATAGATTTTCCCCTAGTTTTAGCGTATGTGAACGCAAACGCGCCGCTCGTGGAGGCTTGCCAGTAAACAGGGACATTATCTTATCCCTTCGGGGAGGGAGAAAGGATGCGGAGCCTCCCCTCATCCTGATGAAGGTGATGGCTCGTGGAATGTCACCTGCCAATCACGGGGGCTTCCTGTTTTTCTGCAACATCCTCGGCGCGGAGGGCGCATCCGCAGTGCTGAGGAATGGCGGCGTGAGAGGGGGGAGAGCTTTTCCCGCTCCCCCATCGCAGGGAGCCGAAGCGGCTCCAGATCCTTCCCCTCCCCTTTCCCAGCCTCCGTTTCCCCGCTATTTCGGATTTCCACTGGGCAAGGGCGGCAGGAGGGGGACTTCCGCGCATTAAGCCGGATGTCTGCTCTGCACCGAGCATCCACAGAAGCCCAGGACTAATTAAGGCGCGGGGGATGGTATAAAATAAAATAGATGGTTTAAATAAATACCACCGGCTCCCTTACCTTCCGACGAAATTCTCCAGGACGGAGCTCTTCCCGGCGCTCTGCCCTCCGACCACAGCGATCTGGGGCAGGTCCAGGTTGGCATTCTGGCCGATGGCAGCGAAGGCATCCTGGAGCTGGTTGACCAGGGGGATGAGATCCTCCATTCCTCGGTTCCCCATGGCTGCTGCACGCGGCGGGGAGAGATCTCACGTCTCCAGCGGCTTGCAAAGCGTCTCTCTCGGAGGGCTATTTAATTTTTTGGAGGGTGGGGGGCTCTCGTCTCAAAGGCTCGTCGACGGCTCGTCTGTGGCCCCCCAAGTCCTCATCGGTGCGTGTCTCCTTTTTTGCGCGCGCGCAGATGGGAGTCCTGCCCACCTTCCCAGCCCTGGGACTTGGAGGTGCCCGAGGGGGCTGCTACTGCAGCGCCCTCCCTTTCCTCTCAGCAGCCCCGCACCCCGCTCCGCCTAAATCAGGCTCCTCGCCGGGTCTCTGCAGCAGCGCTGCCTACCACGAATGAAGCTCCCTTTGGCCACCTGGTCCTAAGCCGGATCGAGAACGTACTTGCTCACAGTCGCCGCCAGAGGGGGATCCGCAGCCGCCACTCGGCTCAGAGAGCTTCATGGGAGTCGTAGTTCTTCCCTTTGGTTTCCCTCGGTCTCCCGTCCCCTTCCCCAATTCAAGTTCAGTTCATATACTGGGGGTGCGGAGGTGTCCTTGTTCCTCACCTCCCACCATCCTTGACCACTGCTGGTACGGGTGGCAGCTGGAGAGGCACAGATCCCCCATCCTTTGCTGTAAGCAAGAGATAGAATGATAGATGTCAACATTTAGCTCCTTTTATGATTATCAGGCTTCTTATAGATAGGGATACATATACATATAGATCAGCATGTGCAATTTTTAATGCAAATATTTGTCCTTTTGTGAGGGTGATGCCATTCCTGTTTTTGGGTGGTGCGTAAAACAATGGACTCCATACTCAATGAGGTTGGAGGGAGCAGAACTGTAGATCAATGAGCTCAAAAAGGAGCTAACTCAGCAAAGGTTGAGAGGACATGGAGAGACTTGTACAGTCATTGGCAGTTCTCTTCTACCAGGTCCATTGCTTCTTGCTGAATCCTTGCCTGCAGTTGGGTCTTCTCTCTCCTCCCAAGTTGTCTGGCAGCCAAATGGATGCTCTCCTGGGAGCTCTGGGCTTTCCACAGGGTCATCTGCCATCTTCACTCAGGAGGCCTGGAACACAGGGCTTGTTTTCTGGAGGTACTCAAGGGTACGCAGTACTGGCACCTCCCCCCACCCCCAAATGTTAAAAGTGGGGCACAGTGAGTATAGGCACTTTTCTTTTCTTTAAAGCGCTGGGGCTTGAGGTGGGGTCCTTGAAGGATCCAGCCAAGGCATCCCTGATATGTGACTTTTCAGAAAGCCTTTGGACTATTGAGAGTTGCATGCAGGTTTTTGGTTGGGGGGAGGAGCATTCTCTGCAGAGTCCCAGGCCTCTTCCTCTGAAGAGGTGTCCCCTGGACTGGGTTGGGAATAATCTTGGCAGTTGCACTCACAGGTTTCCTCTTTCCTTTGGAAGAAAGGAATCTCTGGAAGCAACGTAAACAAGAAATCACAAATCCCCTGGCAGCTCTCCTGCAACATCACCTATCCTTCTTTTGCCCCTTCCTCTCCTTTGTGTGAACCCTCCTCTCCTTCTCATTTATGGTTGTTGTTGTTTAGTCGTTTAGTCGTGTCCGACTCTTCGTGACCCCATGGACCAGAGCACGCCAGGCACCTCTGTCCTCCACTACCTCCCGCAGTTTGGTCAAACTCATGCTGGTAACCTCGAAAACACTATCCAACCATCTCGTCCTCTGTCGCCCCCTTCTCCTTGTGCCCTCCATCTTTCCCAGCATCAGTGTCTTCTCCAGGGAGTCTTCTCTTCTCATGAGGTGGCCAAAGTACTGGAGCCTCAGCTTCACGATCTGTCCTTCCAGTGAGCACTCAGGGCTGATTTCCTTAAGAATGGATGCGTTTGATCTTCTTGCAGTCCATGGGACTCTCAAGAGTCTTCTCCAGCACCATAATTCAAAAGCACTCATTTATGGAGTTAACCGTATATAACATGGGTAGGCAAACTAAGGCCCGGGGCCAGATCCGGCCCAATCGCCTTATAAATCCGGCCCACGGACAGTCTGGGAATCAGTGTGTTTTTACATGAGTAGAATGTGTCCTTTTATTTAAAATGCATCTCTGGGTTATTTGTAGAGCCTGCCTGGTGTTTTTACAGTGGTACCTTGGGTTACATACGCTTCAGGTTACAGACGCTTCAGGTTACAGACTCCACTAAGCCAGAAATAGCACTTTGGGTTAAGAACTTTGCTTCAGGATGAGAACAGAAATCGTGCTCCAGCGGTGTGGCAGCAGCAGGAGGCCGCATTAGCTAAAGTGGTACCTCAGGTTAAGAACAATTTCAGGTTAAGAACGGACCTCCAGAACGAATTAAGTACTTAACCCAAGGTACCACTGTACATGAATAGAATGTGTGCTTTTATTTAAAATGCATCTCTTGAGTTATTTGTGGGGCATAGGAATTCGTTCATCCCCCCCCCCAAAAAATAGTCTGGCCCCTCACAAGGTCTGAGGAACAGTGGACCAGCCCCCTGCTGAAAAAGTTTGCTGACCCCTGGTATATAACATCTGCACTGCCCTTTTCACTAACTGTGGTCAGATCTGAACCACAGCTTGCAACCATGGTCAGAAGCGGGTTTGCAAGATGGTTTGAGTTACCGTAATCATGGTTAGGAGAACACGTGGATGGAAATGTACAAGTGCACTGCAGTTTGCTCCGAACAAAAAGGGGAGGGATGATTCATTTGAGAAAATGGGGAGGGGGAAAGTGAATGCACAAGCTTAATCCGGGTGCAGCAACAAGGAAACCTGAAAACAGTATTGGGAAGAATGTCCTCACCAGTGCTATTTTTCTAGAAAAAGAGGTGCCAGAACTCACCTTGAATTCCTCCCTTGTTCTCTTAGAATTGCAATGGCGCTCACCTGAGATGTGCAGGAACTGAGTTCCAGCGAGAACTGGCTGGGGGGGGGGAGCCCTGGTCCTCATACAGCACGTAGCTGAACTATGACATTCACTCCCACAAGACCAAGTGATGGACACCAACTTGGATGGCTTCAAAAGAGAATCATGCCAAACCCATGGAGGATAAGGGTCCAAATGGCTACAAGCCACAAGCTGTGTTCTAACACCACTGTTGGGGGCAGTATGCCTCTGAATAACAGTTTCTGGGAGTCACAAGAGGAGAGGAGAGCACTGCTGCACTCAGGTTTTGCTTGTGGTTTCCACAGAGATACCTGGTTGGCCAACGTGAGGAAAGGATGCAGGCCAACATGGACCTTTGGTCTCATCCAGGATGTCTCTTATGTTATCAACAGTAGTCTAATGACTTGCCTATTAATGTGCATGAGGCAGTTTCATTGCTTCCTAAATTCTCAGAGAGGGAGAGGACACAGGAACCTGTTACCGTAAATTACCTTAAAATGGCAGGAGGATCCAGTGCACCATATACACCTCCACCTAGCGTACAGTCTAAAATAATACCTGGGCCAGCATCTACCATGCTGCCCGAACTGCAGCTTGCCTCATTTTGCAACAGCTTTCGAAAGGGAGGACACAAATATATGTTGACATGGCAACTGTTCTCTCTCTCTCGGCCCTGTTATTTTGTCCCTGCATCATCTGGCAGCAAGCGGCAAATTCCAGGCTCGTGCGTAAATCAGAGTGGGTGCTGAGCACCTCCACCTCATTTTGATGCCAGAGAGAGCTGCAGGTGCCCAGTGAGATGCTAAATAAAGCATATTAAGTTGATTTGATCCTACAGGAAAATAGTTCTTGACAAATATAAACTGCTGAATCTCAAGGTGTAAGAACAGAGCAAGCCTTGTGACACCCCACCAGTCTTCCCTTGCTGGAGGAACTTGGTGGGGGGAGAACTGTAGCTCTGTGGCAAAGCATCCACTTTGCATGCAGAAGGTTCCAGTTTCAACCCCAGCATCTCCAAATAGGGCTGGGGATATCCCCAATATGAACCACCAGAGAGCTGCTGCCAGTCAGTGTAGGTGACACTGTGATAGATGGGCCAAGGATCTGAATCAGTATAAAGTAGCTTCCTATATCCCTCTAGCTCCTACGAGCCATAGCTCAGTGACTGGGCACTTGCTCTGCATGCAGAATGTCCCAGATTTTGTCCCCAGCAGTTCCACTTAGGACTGGGAAATGTAACTTGCCTGAAACCCTGGAGAGCCACTGCCAGCTGGTGTCAACAACACTGAGCTAGATGGAACAGATGAAGATCAAGCTGGCTTTCTTCCAGGACAACAAATGAAAGATAACATAAGGAACGTACAGTCATCCTCGGGATGAAGTAGCTTCGGGATGAATATTTTCGGGTTGCGTTCCGCGGCGACCCAGAAGTAACGGAGCGTGTTACTTCCGGGTTTTGCCGCTCGTGCATACGCAGATGCTCAAAATAATGTCATGCGCAGACACACAGTCACGTCTTACGTTTACTTCAGGATGCGAATGGGGCTCCGGGACGGATCCCATTCGTATCCAAAGGTACCACTGTAGTTGATATAATTGAGTATTTGATAGGCAGGAATGATAAGCAAGCGGCGTTGATATTTGTAAATACAGAAAAGGCCTTTGATAATATTTCTTAGGAATTTATGATAAAGAATTTGGAATTAATGGAAATGGGACAATCTTTTGTAAGAGGTATAAAAGCGATATATTCAGATCAAAAAGCTAAATTGATAGTAAACAATGTATTAACGGGGGGGGGGAATGAAATTATGAAAGGTACAAGACAGGGTTGTCCTTTCTCTCCATTATTATTCATTACAGTCAATAATATGAGAAAAGCAGAAAAAATCAAGGGAATTTCTGTCCGTCAGAAAGAATATAAATTAAAGGCGTTTGCGGACGACTTGGTTATAACAGTGGAAGAACCATTAACTAGTAAGAATAGAACAATTTGGACAAGTAGCAGGTTTCAAATTAAATAAAAAGAAAACAAAAATGTTAGTTAAGAATATGAATCAAGATCTGATAGATATATTGCAACAACAGAGTGGGATAGAGGTAGTTAAAAAAGTAAAATATTTAGGAATTTGGTTAACATCAAAAAATATAAATTTATTCAAAGATAACTACACACCAGTGTGCAATGGTATCAAAAGGAACTTAGAAGTGTGGGGAAGGAGGAAACTATCCCTATAGGGTAGAATTTCTGGCATTAAAATTAACGTGCTACCGATGATATTATTTTTATTTCAATCAGTCCTGGTTATCACTGGTGTAGGTATCTTTAGAGAATGGCAAAAAATAATTTCAAGATATATTTGGCAAGGGAAGAAGCCAATAATTAAATTTAAACTACTTACAGATACAAAAGAAAGAGGTGGCTTCTCCTTGCCAGATTTGAAATTGTATTATGAAGCTTCTTGCCTTTGTTGATTAAGGGATTGGATTTTGTTGGAGAATACAGATCTATTAGATCTGGAAGGATTTGATAA